GACTAAGACGAGAGTTGAAACGTATTTTGTTTTGTGCGTCTATTTGACTGTAAAACTTAAGTGACTTTCCCGATCCCGTACCTCAAGGGGACGCGATAGAGAGACGAGACGATATTCCCCCCTGACACGTGTGAAGAACCCAGAGGAGAAGAATCTTCCCCCTGATAGTAGCTTCGCGGTGAGTGGCTTACGCAGAAACTGGACCTTTTACTGGAGTTGACAACTGGTGCAAATCTAGGAATACCATCCTAAGAGCTGTTAATTTGCCCTTATGATTTGTCCAGTTGCTTTGGCAGGAGTTCCTAAATAAGATCCTTGATAATGCCCCCGAGTTTCTAACTTTGACTAAAAAACATTTGACCAGTTATAGTATGGGCTTTGCATCATGCGTTCTTGTTATACTGCTTAGTGACATACTGTAAGTACCGGTAATGGTTTTATTGGTGTTGCAGAAGGATGATTGAATACCGTTTATTGAAATTAATAATCCCAGAAAAAATGATATAATATAGATGAGAAATCGTACATAAGAAATATAAAACTCATTCTCAGTAATTAAATAATTATTAATAATGCATTGCAATACACCGATTAAAATTGAAGAGAATTATAATATAAAATATTCTAAATATTCTCGATGGACTTATTTCGCAGTCAGTGTTATTAACAAAATATTTGTTCGCAATCTTATAAACTGGCTTCAGTTGTGGCTTGGCAATTCCCACCATCAATTATATATAATGTGTACATATTTAATACATACAGGTACACTCACAAAAATACACTTGAAATATTAATTAGAGAATTCATTATACAGTGTATAACATTGGCAAAGAAAATCATTATTATTATTCGTCAAACTACATGTGTAAATCCTAATAAATTAGTTCACAGCTGGTGGTTTAGCAATATTGTCAACTCGTCCATGGTGGATGCAAGATTCACTAACATTTATTTTGTAGTAACAATTTTATGTACTTGACAGTTTCCAATATACTTATAATTATCGGATTGTTCGGAAGCATAAGATTGTAATGTGAATTTCGTTCATCAATACTGCATGATGACGCTATTGTTTTGATTTATATTTCCATGTATTTAGATGTGAGAACGCTTTTTGCAATTATAACAGACATTCACTGATGACCCCTGGGTAATCCACACCTGCTCATAACTTGTCACGATAAGGTTCTTACGCATGGGATTAGTAGGTGGAACAACTGGCGAATATAAATGTCAACTATGGAATGATGTTTTGATCCTCGGGGGCGGACATCCGGGCATTTTCACCGCCTGGCAACCCGCGGCGGTGAAAACAAAGGCGCAAGACTCGCAGAAAACGGTACTGTGGGATGACTGTTGAGACTCCTCTGAACAGTGTAACAAGATTAGCCCTACGTGTGTAACATATATAAATTTGGTTGTTCGGGATTACTTCAAAGTTGAGTTTGTGGTGTTTTCTCGAATTTTCACCGGCTCGACCGGCGTTCCACAGCAGCGCGCACAGAGCCCATAGAAAAGCATGTACAGTCGTGCGCGTCGTAGCAACGTGGAACGTCTTGTGACGTAGCTCCGCGACCGAGGATACTTATGGCGCCGATGTGTGTAAACTAACGGTTTCAATGTAGAAGGTATTTCCCAACATAGGGGGCAATTAATCAGATATATTATGGCGTGTTAAATACTTTGTGTGAGTGGCTATTATATGTGCGGAGGCCACGTCTCGAACTCTTGAACTTCCATGTAAGGTGTTACGGTTTTGGAAGGGAAAATAAAGGAATCTCAGCAGGCCCGTAGCCAGGACTTTTGAATAGGGGGTTCGAAAACAACAATTATATATTTGATGTGAAATGTGTGAATTTTATAATATTCAAAAAGTGTTTTGAGCTCTGTTACAGACATTTTTATATTATCGGTTCTAAATTCAATTGGTTTACTTTGCGTTACATTGGTAAGATATTTCACATAGCATCTTTGGACTATTTTAACATTTTAGAAAAGGGGTCCTGAGCCATTCCCCACCTACAGACAAACATATCCACACCATTGATCCACTACGGCAAAATGTTGTACACAAAAAAGACAAGACTGTACTTATCTTAGCATTATTGTCTAAGTATTTTAAGGTACAAGGCTACTTACGAGTTTTTTCGCTTTTCGCAGATGTTAGCGCACATAAAAGTGACACGATTTCATGTCGAAATTTGATTGTACTTTATGTACTTTAGTACAACGTCATTTTTGTTTGATTCCCTAACGCTTTGAGTTCCATGAGCTGCAAGTTACAGAGCACATACCTGAACGGCCGTTCCTCAGCAAATAATTTAGCCCAGGAATTTTCCGTGTCAAAATCGCGAAACTATCCGTTTTTAGGCATTATCTTGGAGATTCGAATTACTAAACGAAGTACAGGACGACGATGCTGAAATATCCAAGAACCAACACATACCAACAATTATATCTCAAAAGTGAATATTCGTGGTGTATTTTAAGTCTAACCGGACCAGAAGTGGGAATTTGTTACTACTCTAAATATCCAAACATATTTTATTATAAACATGGAACTATAGTTTATAGTTTATAGTTCCATGGTATAAGGTAGAAATGTAATTGTTTGGAATTATAAACGTTACACTCCATGCACGTATACTGTGGTGGATCAGTGCTGCCATAGCGACATATAATACGTGCCAAAAATCGAAACAACATACCAAATGATGTTGTACTGGTAGCATTCAATTACTTTAATGAGGTTATGACGTAGTCATAACTCATGAATATATTTGAAAGGGCAATTATTAATAGAAAGCATTTATTATGAAACACCGGGAATCATGTATATTCGGTCTTGACACCCACTCTGTCTATTGTGGTAATTTCAAGACTGAACACGCTTTCTATCACACTAAACTGGTGACCAAATTCAACAACTGTTTCTGCCCTTTACACTCAAATCTGAATGAACGTAGGCAAGCCTCAAGAGGTTTCGATTGTATACAGCGCCACCAGTGGCTGTTCCCGGCTCCATGCGTCCAGACAGAAAATCCATTGCGTGTTTGTAGATATTGCATACAGTAATAACAAAATACTGTAAAGGAGTTAATTATTCACTGGGTTTTAATTTGGCTTTTTTCGCTGACTGGAAAATGCGCTAAATTAAAACCCAGTGAATATGTAAAATTGAGCATGGAACACATTATCCAAATGATAAAACCGTGAATTTTAAACCCACTAAATATGCCTGAAACGCTAAATCAGTGAAATTAAAACCCAGTAAAAATTAGTCATTTTACAGTACATCATATCTTAATTATTTACACATTCCTGGCGTACCATTAATCTTATTCTTATATATTTTCATTACACAAACACTATGCAATGAAACTTACATCACACGCGAACTTAAAGAAAAGTCGCGCGAGACGCATAATATCGATTATTACATTAATGATTTTTGTTTAATACATTCGGATCTGATTTTGTCAGAATTTACATATTTTTCAATACAATAGTAGTTCAGTGTTCTGACTGGAGCAGTATTTGAACTTTGCAAAAGGGCTCAACAGACTTCTGTTTAACTCTCTCGGGCATGCTGTTAGCGAGGCTATTTTCACCTTGAAATGCGATGTTGGCATGATAAAATATGAATAACTGGTCAATCAAACAAAATGTGTCATCTTGTATCATTTTGTCCAAAATGGCGAACTCTGCGCCCTCTATGTTCATTTTGAGCACAACAAAATCATCGTGGGTTACATGGTTTTGCAGCCATTTACTGAAGTCTATGCTAGGGATCTGGACAGCATTGGTCTTTGTCACGTCATTTTTGGTTTCTACAATTGAGGTACCCCAGTAACCATTTTTCTCTGCAGCACGATCAAGAAACAGTTGAACACCATTGTTGTCTATCCCAGCAGCCGTTTCAGTGTAGAGTTGAAAATTGTATTGTTTCTGAAGTTTTTGTAATTCCTGGGTGTGAATTGCATCTGCTTCAAACGCAAACACTTTCCAATTAGCGGGATCGTACGTGTATGGCAACTTTACCAACGGGTTGTTAGAGCCATCCACTTTTTTCTGTTTATAAAAACTCTTAAGGGTATCTCCACGGTTTGCACCGACATCGATGTAGACTGTTGATCTTACTCGAGTATCTAGCCCCTCATCACGTATATTCGCACTCCAGCAGGCTGGCTTATTAAAATATAAAACGCACGATAACGCCAGTAGAGTGGCGACACTGCCAATCGCTGCAGCACTCAAATTTGTCATTTTTAATTATCTGAAGAAGAGAAAATAATAACATTAAAGGGCGGTAGTCGTCGCGCATGCGCTGCGCGACGACCATTGACATTTAGCTTAATGGCGCTGTTTATAATTGAGCATAATGTTTCATTGCGGTATGTGATACTGCAAACGAAGGTACTTCTGTGAACTGTTTTCACCTAACGTGCATCTGGATGCAATTTATACAGAAGTTTGAGATTTGCGACTGTCTACAATTTTCACAGATAGTTAACCCGTTACATATTTGAATACGTTAAATTAGAATTGACAACCTAACCAAATCCATTGCCACAAAGTATGACACATAACCAAGAATATTTATTAATACAACAATCAAAAACAAATTTCTAAAATACCAGTGGAACCTGACAATCCCGCTAAAAAATGCGTTATTTATTGCTAAAAAATAATGCCAATATATCTCAATAAGCAAACTCAGACAGCATCAGTGTCTACAAGCAAGATTCGAATTCTGGAAAAACAAAGGGGCAAACACAACACAGTGCAACACAATTCGTGGAGAGATAGATCTCCTCGGACGTTTTAAAAATAGTGAGCATATCCAGGCCGCTGAAACCGGAACTAGTGCACCTGACTTCAAAATGGCATTCGGTGAAAATGGAAAATTGGTATATGCATAGGTGATTGCCTGAACAACAAGAATATGCTTTCAGCTTCTTGGATTTTAAAAAAACCTGGAAGTGATCATTTTCATCATGTTCTAGGAATCCAGTTTTTGTCTGTGTATCATTACTGGCTGATGCACTTTCTAAATCATGAAAAATATCTTTAGTGATCACGTGATTTTGGCCGCCATTTAGATTTAAAAAAACGGGAAGTAATCATTTTCACCATGCTGTAAGGTACTGGGCATCTCGTTTTTTTTTTGGACCATGCAATTCCCAAATCACAAAACATATCATTGCCGGTAACGTGATTTTGGCCGCCATCTTGGATTTTGTGAAAACGAAGATTGTGCAATTGCATGTGTTATATTGGTCCCATTGGATTCAGATGAGATACATTCTTTCGTCAGAATGAAACAGGGCTAGGTCACGTGGTTGGCCACCCTCAATAATACGCATAACCGTTATATCTCAAACACTGTTGCAGATAGGAAGATGAATCCTGTGTTATTATGACAACAGTTAACAAGAGATTTGATTAAAATAACAGATGACCATATATGGTCATGTGAACTCATTAATATGCATAACCGTTATATCTCAAACAATGTTGCAGATAGGAAGATGAAACCTGCGATAGTATGATGACGCTAAACCTGAGATTTGATTAAAATAACAGATGACCATATATGGTCATGTGAACTCATTAATATGCACACCTGTCATATCTGAAACACTGTTGCAGAACTTGTAACTTCATTAATTTGCATAAGCACATACCTCATTATATATTCTGAAAACTATATCTTGATAACCAAACCAGGTAAATACATGAAACCAACTGCATTTTGACCTCATAGCACAGATCATCATCATTCAAACTACCCTAATGAAAATCCAGTGACCTCATTAATTTTAGATCATATATGATCATGTAACTCATTAATATGCATGAGTACACGTCTCATTATATAGTCGATAACCAAACCAGGTAAATACATGAAACCAACTGCATTTGGACCTCATAGCAAAGATCATTCAAACCACCCTAATGAAAATCCAGTGACCTCATTATTTTTAGATCATATATGATCATGTAACTCATTAATATGCATGAGTACACGTCTCATTATATATTCGATAACCAAACCAGGTAAATACATGGAACCAACTGCATTCGGACCTCATGGTACTTAACATTCAAACTACCCTAATGGAAATCCAGTAACATCATCAATTATGAAACAGTGCCTGACAGCTTGGGCCCCGCTGATGCCGCTTGCTGTTTTAATTTACAATTCAGATCTTAGGTTTAATACTTAATATATATATCACAATACTAAAAAATAAATGAATTGTTGATGTAGTACTTATAGTTAGTCGATAAACACATGAACATATCGGAGGGAACAAGATTCTATCCATTATTATATGACACCCTAATTCCGTACTACAATAAGAGTTTACAAAGCTGTACAGATGCTCTGTGTCACGACAGTTCTTTTAACGAAGCTGTTGGTGAGGATACAGTGATATTTGTATGGTGAAATGTTATTAATGAGTTAATTATATAAAAGGCATTCTGGCACCATCTTTTTTGTGCCATTGTGTTCAAAAAGGTACTCAGCTGGCGTACTAGTGATATAAAATCATATTCGTTTTGAGTGACACATTATTTTGCAACACTCCTGGTTAGTTTGTCCTCGACACAAGCCTAAATAAAACCACTACGTTAACTGTTGATTTGAAATATCATTATTTTTTAATAATGAATAAAATGCCGCATTTTTTACATATAATAAGCTTAAATCCATAAAATAGGAAGTCTAGACTGTGTAACTATGAAATATTTGCAAACGTACATTTAGTGAAATGGTTCCAGGATGTCTCTTTGGAAAGGTATTCACCATGAGAAAGAATAACACAGTATTGTAGTGGTCATTAACTTCCTGTGACTCCGAGGGAAACAATTGGCACGATGGTTGTAGCAATGGTTACCAGGTATTGTAATAAGGCGATGCATTAACTCGGTAAAGCAAGATGGGTTGTAACAAAACGTGTATGTAAATGGAAAAACAATATCCTGATTTCAAACCATGTGACTGTTGAATGAAATTAGGTTTCACACACCTGAGACTGATAACCGGAATGCGAGAAAAGTCTGGAAATTTGTCAACAAACTTACCATAAAATCACAGATGTAGAGTCTTATTAACGGGTGTTATGAGCCGTATACATATATGCAAGTGATAAACTCACTCACTGGTTTAGTTGCACGTCTGTCTGTGTACGAGTCATCGATAAGACAATGATGGAACTATACTGTACCGTGTTCTACCCTGGCTACAAAGTGTGCTCGCCCCTTATTTATATTCATGAGCGAATAAATAATCCTGATTTACCCAGAAACAGCTACCTTCGCATGTACCATCATTTTGTGCGATTATGGGTGTGGACGAGACATTATGAACAAACAAGAGATGGCCTAATTTGATACGAAATACTAAAAAAACTTAGAACAAGAACCATTGGCGGATCCAGTAATTCAGTAAGGGTGGCGCTCCTGTTGACGTGAACTGGGTTTGTCAATTTCTCCGAATAGACCTAGCTCGAGCCATTCCATTAGAGCGCGTCCGTTCCATTAGAGAGCGTGCCATTAGAGAGCGGTCACGTGACGTGTGATCACCTGACAAGTGCTGGATACACGCTCTAACGGAAAATACCGTTATGTTTAGAGAATTTACGAACCGTTACGAAAGAGTTTGCTCGTTCGAAGACCGTTTTTTGTAAAAGCGACAGCCTTGGTCGATACACTGTTCATTTACACAATCTTTCCCGGCACCATACGCACTCACACTGTTAGCGGCGGAGTGAAACGCGCCCATGTCATGCCATTAACCGATTACTGACGTCTATGTATTTCATGTCTTTGGCATGAAAGCTATAAAATATATAAAATACAATGCCTTGCTATCGTTTGAACATTTCAAATATTTAACTAGTCTAGCGTTTGTTTTTTCATTCCATTGGAGACGAGTCGCTCTTCATTTCATTACAGGACGGTATGACCCAAACCACCCTCTAACGTCGCTCTATTTACTTGAATTGATATGGGAGCTATTAAATATATTTAATACAATATATTCAAACAGTTTTGAACATTTCAGTTACTTAAATTGGCCAAGCGATCGTGTCATTCCATTACAGACGAGTCGCTCTTCATTCCATTACAGGACGGTATGACCAAAACCACCCTCTAACGTAGCTGTATTTACTTGAATTGACATGGGAGCTATTAAATACAATTAGTAAAATATATTCAAACAGTTTTGAACATTTCAATTATTTAATTGGCCAAGCGATCGTATCATTCCATTACAGACGAGTCGCTCTTCATTCCATTACAGGACGGTTTGACCCAAAGAGGAGGAGGACACCATGTTTTTGTGCCATTGTGTTCAAAAAAGGCAGTCAGCTGGCGTACTAGTGATTAAAAAATCATATTCGTTTTGAGTGACACATTATTTTGCAACACTCCTGGTTAGTTTGTCCTCGACACAAGCATAAACAAAACCACTACGTTAACTGTTGATTTCTATGATAATTGATTTGAAATATCATTATTTATTAATAATGAATTAAATGCTACCGGTAACACCTGAGCGGAGCGAGACGTGTCATTAGGGTCATAATTAAAACGATGACACATTCAAAATTGACAATTTAAATTCAAAATATGAGCAGTTAATTTTAAGATGTGAAAACAGAATGATGCTAAGTTTTAGTATTTAAGTTTCAAATAGTATTATTAGTATTAAAAATATGAGAAATTAAATTTAAAATATGAGGCTTAAACGTTAAACGGTCAAGTTATGCGATAATTCGAACATAACAAGTTGCTGGGATTCTCTAGTACTTATATGCAATCAGAAACCTTTGACCTCATACCAAAGAAATGGCCGAACAATCAATGTTATGTGTTTTTCTGCTCTTCAGTATTGTCAGGTATATACCTGCCATCTTTACAGACAGCTGTCACACACAATGCTTTGTGTAACACGATAGCGCCTACTTTACGCTAAAGTATCACCCATGTGTGCACTGTAGTAGACAGTAATGATGCGAATTACACGAAATTTATATAACATCAATATTCCGGGGAAATGTATAAATCTCAAAAATCAAAATAATGTATAATAAATAAATATAAATCAATGTTTATTCCAATAAAGCAAAAAAAAAGTAAGTCTTAACAACACACAAAATACATATAAACAAAAATATACACATGGTATAGGGGGTCTAAATTAGTTAGCATCTAATCAAGTCCAGCTCCTGTGCTGTAAATCACAGTTTTCA